GTTCTATACTTAGAACAAGTACGAGTTTAGCGGATCGCAATCCGCTTACTCCAAAAGTGATGATTGCCTTAACCCAAGGCTAATTATCTCTTCCGTTTAAAATTCAAAACTGACTTTTATGTATTTCTATCTGCGGCAAAGCCGCCAAATTTTAAATGTATAGAATTTCCCAAATATATATAGTAGATTCTAAATACATGAATAGCTACTGGCTATCCAGCCACGTACCGTAACTTATTTGGGTGCAGTCACACCATGCCCATCTCGTGTGACACACACCCTTGTTACCAGGGTACGTGTGACCCCGTTACACGAAGACTAAATACAGAGAAGCTGTAAATAGCAGGCTGAAGGGCCAAAGGGCAGTGTCGTATAGGTAACACTAGCTGCAGTAAAGTAAAATTCATTGTGAAGAGTGATGATGCCTACAGGAAGCTGTCATGCATCTACAACAATGTGCGACTTCAAGATTAATGTTGACGCTGATGAGACTGGACCATTTAAATCAAGAATGGTGGCGTACGAAGAATAACATGGCTAGTGTTACGCTTTTAAATGAACGTTTGCAACTGACATGCTTACAGGCTGCTCGTGCGATTAAGCATACCGACGGGGAAAGGTGAAAACTCAAACACGTATGCAAAAAATTAATGGTTGCTTCGCAGGGTGTGCGACATTATAAGCAATAGCCAAGATGGTTAAAGCAGCGATTAAATACCAAAGTCCAAACAAAACTATCGTGGGACAATATGCTTTGATGTATGCAACTAATCTACTTATCTGCGGCCTCTAAGACTAAGTTGCGATCGCGCTACATCACACAATTCACAGTCGTAGCGTGAAGCAGACCGAGTTATGCACTCAACATGTCAACGCGATTTGAGCACATCCTGTAATTTATGTAGGCCCTCTGAAGCCATACCACTATCTCGCTCTTCCGTGACAGTCGAATGTGAAAAATTTAATTGTAGACGGAGCATCGTATCCACTATCTCTAGTAGCTGAGCTACTCTCTGCACAAAGTGGCTGTGCAGTCAAACACGCTGAAAGTACGAACTGCAGTGGCGAAATTGAGAAGCTCAAGGTCTATGACATCTCAGGCCTGAGCTGCTCTTGCTGGGTGCACCAAGCCTCTGCATGTAAATGCCGTTTTTGTGGGGGCATTAATAAAGTTTACATGGTTGATATGATATAAGTCGCACATTGATATATAATCGATATTTCATAAAGAAACAGAGTGGATGCAACGAGTGCGTGAAAATATGTGAGAGAGAGCCGGCATAAGCAAAAGAAACATGCAGATGCTAAAAGCATAAGAAACACTTATAGTTTTGTATTGTAATATAAAAATTAACTAAACGCTTGTAATCTACTGACACATGTAATCTAAGACTAAGTTGCGACCTCACTACGTTGGACGGTCGTAACCCTATGTATGTTTGTGAAATGCGTGCCACAATGTCGCCTATACGAAGCAGTCGGCTGTGGACGCGCTGCTGGGACAAGCAGCGCCAAATTATTCTTAGAATCAAGGTGCCATCCGCTCCACAGCAGCGATACTGTGGTACATCTCTGCTGGTACTCTAGCAGTTAGCGTAGATTTTTGAGCGCATAAAAAACTATCCAAAATTTGTATCGACACCGAAACTCTCGATGAGAGCCGACGTCGCACCCAAGAAAGCTGATGAGAACATGTAACAGGGGTGTTTCGTCGCCGGCATTGTTTGATATGGAAGAGTTGACCTATCCTCTCGTCGAGCTGTAGGTAAGCTGGCAGGTTCTCTGGGGCTGTTTTCAGTATTTGATGAAGTTATAAACCCAATTCAAAAACCCATGAAAATGTAGATTCCACTATGACAAGATTGCGCTGTTGCCGCTGCTTATTAGCTTGTCTTTTCCCGGTAATGTTTTCCTCTCAAGAAATGCAGAGTTGTGCACATATCTTAGCGAGTACGGTTCGACCCTGTTCGAAACTTGGCCAATAACTGTAACATATGTTTTATAAAATCATCGGGGTTGTTAAGGGCAAGAACCTAAGATGATGAGTGGCACGCTTGAAGTCCGCGACCGTGCGTTGAACTTTTAAGGTCACGAGTTTAGCAACACATCTTATTCTCTGAATGTGGCTTGTAGGGCTGATAAATGGGCGAAGCTCCTTGTCCTTTTCCCCCGGTATGCGGATTAAGTGGGGCACGTCTCGAGCATTTATGAAGTTTTCACCGTTGCCGCTCCTAGCGCAGGAAATATTTTGTTGAGAAGTGGTACCCTGTGGAGGCAGAAAGTGCTCGTGGAGCCTCTTATGGGTGCTCGCTTCGTTCTCAGCTTGAGCAAATGCTTTGCATGCCAAAGGCGTGTAAGGGCTTTTCCACGGCGCGGCGAGCAGCATCAAGCAAGTATAAATGTTACCCACGACGTGATTTAGTCAAGAAAGGTCGTTTCGTGCTTGCACTTGCCGATAGATAAACTGGACTCCCTGATCCAGATCCAGCTCATTTGTGACGAGGGTGCTTGTCGTCGTTTGCTCTGCAGAGAGGTGCTGACACACATTTCGCCGGCATCGAGCCCGTAATCGTACAGAGGACAAGCAAGATCTAGGATCGCCTTTTTCCGCTTAGTAAATGGCTCTGCCGTATGCCTCTCGAGGAAACAGGGGGCTGATTAGGCTTGAAGATTCGCTACGACGGCTCTTATATATAATTACCCCGGTCTACTTAGTGTGTAGGGCATGAAGGTCGACGGCCGCAAGAACTGCGATATTTGTAAGGCTCGCAAAGCATTACAATAGTATACCGGACGGAGGGAACCCGATGCGAATATGCCCGCAGGAGCAGGTAATTTGGGTGCAAGAAGTTAAGAGCATGGGGTGCTCGTTGTGCGTTCCCTTTTCTGCAGTATCCTATATGACAAAGGACGTGTGCGCATCAGTGTGGTCCATATATTCGTGTGGACGATATGACGGGGTATACACTATACTGTTGTGTGCGTGACCTTACACATTTATGCAATTGTGCAAATACACTTTTGTGCTGTTCTGCATGATTACACTTTTGTGATTGTACAGATTCAGTTGCACCAAAGCATTGTTACTGATGAGGAAGATGGGACTTCGAAAATGAGAGGTATTTGGGATACATGAGTTGTGAGACCAACATCATACAATTTCGTAAGTTTTGTTACTGAACATGGTAAAACAACAATGGCCAGAATTATCTCAAATGAAACTTAATGTCACTCATGAAATATAAGATATATCTACAGTTCTAGGTACTAAAGAGGCTCTTTACTCCGCCTCTGAATGGAGTGTACAAATTTAACTACTGTGCGTTTAGAAAGGCGAACTCTTCGAGTCAAATATTCCTTATTATAAACTGCACGGCAACCCCGTTGCAGTTTGGCACCATTACATACGGAAAGCTATTAGTCAATAATTTGTATGCCGATTCAATTTTTTCAAAAAATAGAATGTAAACCATTTTTTTACTTTTTATTCAAATATTTTTTTGTTTTATTGAAGGACTTCCTAAAAGTAAAATTCATGATAAGTACTTGCACCACACGTCTTTCATCTGGATTTCAGATAGAGATTCCCGTCGAGTAAATCATGCGTCTGATGGCGATGCGACTTCGGCTGCTACAGCGCCCCGTGCGCTCGAGCAATGTTGCACTCCTCTCCACCAAAGCACCCGATTTCTCTGATATCGTGTATGGTCAGGACACCGGTGTGCGCACGGTACAGTTTAACCGGCCAGAAAAGCTTAACGCGTTGACGCTCCCGATGGCGCTGCATCTGATGCATCGATTACACAAGTTTGAGGCGAACAAGACGGTCAACGCTATCGTTTTTTCTGGTAATGGTGGTAAGGCTTTTTGCGCTGGTGGTGATATCCGCGCGCTGGCCGATAATGGTAAAGACCCGGCCACACGTCACTTCGCCCTCGACTTTTTCCGCCACGAGTATCGCTTGAACTATCTTTTAGCGACCACCGAGAAGCCCATCATTTCGTTTCTTAACGGCGTTACTATGGGTGGCGGCGTAGGGCTTTCAATGCACGGCAAGTTTGTGGTAGCCACTGAGAAGACGGTATTTGCAATGCCAGAGACTGCAATTGGCTTTTTCCCGGACGTCGGAGCCTCTTATCTACTACCCCGTCTTGGACGTCGACTAGTAGAGGGTGAAGATTACGTAGCTGATGTTCCCAAATCGCAGGCGCTTAAGGGTCAGGGTGTAAGTGATGCAATCTGGTGAAAGAGCAATGGCCGTTGAGATACATTTATGGGTAATTTGTGGATACAGCTAGGTACATATCTCGCATTAACTGGCGAGCGACTCAAGGGCCATGAAGTTATTGGTTTGGGACTCGCTACCCACTATCTTCCCACGAGTGAATACGATACATTGGTGCATCAATTGACAGGTTTTGAATTTGAGGACCAAGTGCCCCAAGAGGAGCGGGATGAGATGATTCACGAAGCTATAGCGGAGCTCGAGACGGACGAGGCATTTCAAGAAGTTGACCCTGGTGAGTTAATGCAAAAAAACGATATTATTACCAGGCAAAAATCACATTTTTTCTTGCGATCGGTTTAGGATATCTTGAGACAGTTGAACAAGTCTTTGGTGCTTCCAATGAGAATGACACATTGGAGGGCATTTTCGGACGCCTGGAGGTGCGGTTTAGCTTTGCCTTTATTCTAGCGAGAGACTAATCGAGATTGCGTTTTTAACTACAAGCAGAAGCTTAACACAGAGTGGTCTCACGAGACGCTTGCTAACTTAAAAAAGATGTCACCTTTGAGTCTAAAAGTTACGCTAGAGCAGATGCGGCAGGGTGCTGGGAAGACATATGCTGAGTGTTTTCAGATGGAATACCGCATAGCTACAAGAATGATGGAGAATCCAGACTTTTTTGAAGGTGTACGCTCAGTTGTTGTGGACAAAGATCGCAATCCAAAGTGGTCAAAGCGCGACATCACCAAAGTAACGGCAAAAGAAGTGAACGCATTTTTCAAGCCTCTCGAAAAAGACCAAGAATTGATTTTGTATCCATCAGTTACGGCAACGACGGAAAAAGAGTAAAACATATCTACATAGCAGCTTGTCAGTAGTAAACAAATGCAGCATATGCGGACGTCTAAGTTTTAGATTGAGATGGCAACCATAAATTTTGTACCTGTTGTTTACTAAATATTCTTTTATAGTATGGGAATCGGGGAGCGCGATTCGAAAGGCACCCTGTGGGCAACTTTGAAAGTCCTGGCCGAGTCAAAAAAAAATTGTATGATGGAGTTTTTGTCAACACACAGGAAGGAAGCAGATTGTGGAGCTAAATTCGATGGTTGGAAATTGAGAGGCTCGACGATACAATTCTGGCAAGCTATATTCTCTCATCTGGACATTTGTGCGTGTTTACAGATTCTGATGTAAGACTTGTGAAATCAAGCTGCGAAATGGAAAATGCGCTAAGTTCAGCAAACTCGGTGGATCGCCGGTTCATCAAACTCAGTTACGATCCCGATGCGTTAGGACGTCGTTGTCTCATTGCATTCTGGGAGACAAAACGGCTAAACACTGTCACATAAATAGTGGCAATAACTCCATTTTCACCTTCATGGCTTTGTCATGACAGAACACACTATGTAGCGGACGATGGATGCTTTATTTCGGCATAACAATTTTCGTCGCAGTGCTACCACTGCAACTGATAGAACAATAAAAATACGCGAAGATCCTAAGAAACAAGTATGCCAGCCAGAAGGGGCGCCAGCGCCGCGATCTTTTAAATCCTCGAGAATTCGTCAGTATGGAGCTTGCGTCAACAAAAGGACAGATGGTGCTACACTGATCCAGTCAAAATCGAGTGAAATTGGAAAGGAAAAGTTAGCATATTATTCATTCATAGCTGCAACTTTCATCCTACTTCAGAGATTGCCAACAATCAAATGAATTAAATTCTTTCCTGTGTTGTGAAAAATACAATCTGGAAGACAGAAAAAATTGTGTTGGCGAAGACAAATCATGGAAAAAGAATCACATCGAAGACTTACTTTGATGTAAATGCATTTTTTTGACATCATTTATCACATTTCAAGTTACATTCGCCCATTCACCTTGTCTCATAAGATATACAAAACTATGTATTATCATATTTTATTGCGTATCTCAACTGGAATATAGGGGCTTTTTGAGAGCACGATTACGTAATTGCGAGTGAAAACTACGTCAAAGCTATACTGACTACAGACGGTCGCGCGATGGCCTGCGACTGTAAAAACAAATGCGTATGAAACGACTAGTTGCATAATTTATGAAAAACACCGATTGGAAGTTTCTTTTCCTCCGTACGTACTGATGATGAACAATTTAAAATAGCATAGTTTTATTAATGCTTTAAGCTGGAAGAACAAAGTATTATGATGCTTCTTTGGGAAGGTCACGCAACTCTGCTTCCGGTCTGGCGAGCGACCAATAGAGAAGCTCGTAACGACATAATTATATTCAGTAACATTCTGTTGTACCATCTCATCCCTACGTGCGACTAGTGAAACGGCATGACGAGAACCTTCCTTGTTGACTACAGTTGACTACAAACATAAACCTGTCAAATATGATACTACTGAGAAAATGTACGAAAAAACTTCATTTCCGGATTTGCATCTTCAAACACGCACCATCACTCTGAATTCCGTCATGCCCAAGTTGACTCTGTCCTCGCGCACCTCGCAGACAGTAGATGCGCTTTTGCAATATATCAACAGGAGCCCGAGCCCGTTTCATGCCGTTTACGAGACTGTACAAGCACTGTCGGCCGCCGGGTTCAAACAACTTCGCGAGGAAGATTCATGGAAGGAAGCTGTGAAACCGAATGGAAAGTATTATGTCACTCGCAATCAGTCGGCCGTGGTAGCTTTTGCCGTCGGTGGAAAGTATCAGCATGGAAACGGCTTTCATGTTATTGGCGCACACACTGATAGCCCATGTCTTAAGGTTAAGCCCACTTCCAACATCGAGTCGCAAGGCTACCTGCAAGTGGGTGTCGAAACGTATGGCGGTGGTCTCTTTCACACATGGTTTGATCGTGATCTGGGTCTAGCGGGGCGGGTTATAGTACGCGAGAGCGACTCGAACTTTCAGTCCAAGCTCTTATTCGTTAACCGCCCTATTATGCGCATTCCAACGCTCGCAATTCACTTGGACCACAAAGCTGCAGAAAACTTCTCCTTTAATAAAGAAACTCACTTACGCCCCGTGATTGCTTCTGCCGCTCGTGCCGAGCTGGAGGTAACGACTGATTGCAAGGGGCTACCCAAGTCGAAACACGCATCTGTGCTATTGCAGCTCATCGCTAATGAATTGAATATCAAGATCGACCAAATTTGCGACTTTGAACTGTGTCTCTTTGACACCCAAGGGGGAAATATTGGTGGTGCGCTCAATGAGTTTATCTTTTCTCCCAGACTGGACAATCTATGCTGCTCGTGGATTGCCACACAAGCGCTTATTGAATCGTTGGATAATCTTGCAAACGACGAAAATATTCGTGTAGCCGCTTTGTTTGACAATGAAGAGGTGGGATCACAGTCTCTGATGGGTGCTGGCTCCAACTTTTTACAGTCGGTCGCGGAACGTGTAGCCCAGGGTGAGCTTTGTGGTGCTGCGGCTAGGAAGTCGTTTTTGGTTTCAGCTGACATGGCTCATGGCGTGCACCCAAATTATAGTGATAAGCACGAGCAGAATCACCGCCCTATCTTGGATGGTGGACCTGTGATCAAGCACAATGCCAATGCACGTTACGCTACAAGCGGCACATCCGCTTTTTTGATGAAGGAACTTGCTCGTCGCCATGATGTAGAAATTCAAGAGTTCGTGGTGCGTCAGGACGCCGGATGTGGATCAACTATTGGCCCTATGCTATCAACCAGAACAGGCATTCGAACCATCGATGTTGGTCTAGCTCAGTTAAGCATGCACAGCATCCGCGAAATGTGCGGCACCGAAGACTTGGTTAAAACGCTTGATTGGTTTCGGGCGTTTTATTCCGAGTTTTCCTCTCTTGACAGTTGCCTTAAGACCGACTGAGTTTTGCGATTTCAAGTAGGCAACAAATAGAGTTGAGAGTTTACATGTACCTGAGTTCTTGTTACCGCTCGCTACACCATCAGTTTCTGTAATATACGACAGATATGTCGTACGTTCGTTTTAGCTAAATCAGTTTTTTTTTCAAGTGCTGATGTCAGAACCATCAAATGTATTTCCTCTCCATGAAATTTAGCATTATATGATATTTGAGTAATCGGCACAGACTAATCAATAAATGTACATTTCCTCTTGAAGTAGAATTGCTCACGTGTGCTGGTCCATTGAAAAAGACTGATTAGCCGCACTAACGGTCGCAGTTGTATCTGACGCTAACCGCAAACGCATTTGCAAATGTCACACCTGCCGAACTTGAGGTAGTGTGTATAAATTGGGTTGGCTAAGCCACAAAATCACTGAAAAATCACTATTCAAAATTGCGCGGCTTGATTTAGTTATGTTTTGAAGTTTATGATCCATTACATCACATTCGCAGACATAATGTTTATCTATCGCAAAAAGAACACAGTTTTACTTTAAAAATAGCATGGTGCGGACTGTATCAAGCGACCCAGGATTTTTGCAGTCTTTGAAAGTATATCATCAGCCGGAACGTGACTCTATGCGAGTAGTCATTCATAACGTCTTTTTATGTAATGTATTATTTGCAATTTCTATTTTTAAATTAAGGCTGATTTTGGATAGGCTTCAGCGTTGCGATAGGAGATTCCCCACATCCTGTATCAGCGTTCTATTAAAGTATTCTTGACGATACCTGCTTAAAGTTGTTGTACTATCGCTGCGATGGTGGAAGCTCTCGAGTGTGCGTCACGTCGCATTGACGAAGAGAGTAGGATACATGGTGACAGTGCAAATGCAGTCATAGATTCGATGTGGCCAAGTACAGAAATATCTGCTTTTTGATGCAACCACGTTACCGCGATTCCACAGAAAAAGCCTACTATCTTGCAAGTACATGGATACTCCAAGTTGGGAAAGCTTGATGATAACAAGGACTTTGAACGCTATGCAGTAGACGTTATCAGTCACACCGCGTTCCATGGCTATGTCATTCTTCAGAAAACGATCAATCGTGAAAGATAACATGCAAGCCGGAACAGCGAGTAAAACGGACTGGGCCCAACCACATACCGATCGTCCGCAAGGCCGGTGGAACGTAGCTAGTCGAAAACAAAGAGGAGCAAAGAGCGAATATAATGATTCTGCGTGGAGATCCTGCATTGATCAATTTTTTTGTTGCAAAACGTGCAAAGTCAGTACCCGTGCGTTCTTAATGCACTCATGATAACTTGGCCATGATAATGTTGCCGCAGCTTCTTTGGCTTGAACTAATTAAGCATGCGTACATATACAACGAGGATCAGAAGCTTACTTTTCAGTCGCTTGATTCGCACGCGTGGTCACTTATAGGATCACTATGGCGATATCCCGACCCGTCAAACCATATGATCAGCGAGAGGTTGTCTCGAATTGCGTGTTGATTGAACAATAAAATTCAGTAAATGAGAGCGCTTGACCTATGTAATGGATGCGAGAGGCAAGTTTCAGTCCTGTAATTTGTATGGGTGCAGGATCAACACTTCATCAGAGGGACAGCGATGGTGAGTATCCGTTGTGCAAGAAAATCTCCTTCATGGCGATAATGAGAGAATGTACCGGACGTGGTGAAAAATGCGCGCTGCTTGTTGGATACAAGTTGCTTTGATGTCAATGTACTAGATGCAGGATGGCAGACTTTTTTTATTCGTACTCTTAACTTCCATACAACGAGGCTGTTTTAGAGCCTTGGACATTTAGTACAATTGTTATTAATTTGGTGTAATTGCAGATATTCCTAATTACCGGGATTTGGTCCTATCAGAGGGATAGTAAATCGCCAATGATCTGGTATTGATATGGCGAAAAATGTGTTGAATTCTGTAGAGACTCTTGGATTGGTAGAGCACACAAACCCATCCTCTATGCATTCATTACGTCGGATTTTGAAAGCTAAAGCCTCCTCTGTGCAAAGTATATAACAACCCCGTTGTTCTTGGTATCACTAGTAGTCAATCCCACGACCGAGCCGCGGAAAGACTGTGCCCTCAACGAGGATATAACATGCTAAAATACCTGTCCCTGAAACGAATAGAGCGGCTATAAATAAGTCGGGCCTGATTAAATCAGGAAACTGGCGGGCATTGGGCATGAAGGGGTTACCGTTCGCCTACATTCGCTCTCTCGTTTTTGAAAATGTGCGTTCAGGAGTGCCTCAACCCATCCCCAATGTATGGGCAGAAGGATATTATCGTATGACCACTAGTGTCGAGCGTCTAGGGTTGAGGACCGTGACAAAAGGAATCTTCATTTGGATGAGAAAAGCTGAAGTGGCCGTGGATTTGGCCTTGCTCCAAGCTGGGAGGTCGCATGGCAAGAATTGCTATCTTCATAGACGGTCTTCGAAAAGGTGCGGCTAACACCGAGATCTCCCCTTGCGTGCTCTCTTGCTCTCGACTGAGAGGGTCGGAAGGTCTAAAGAGCTTCCCAGGAGCCCTGAGAGGAAACCGTCAAGTCCCATAAGGCGCAACCGGGCATTCTGAAAAGCAAATAGGTTCTACTGTAGTCTAAAAGGTCGTGGTCAATTGGACTCAGCCGTAAAGGTAGCGACTTTATCTAAAAGAGGTGGTGCTCACAGCCCGGGATTGTCGATGTAAACGTCTTAAAGTTTGTGAAGCTGTAGAAGGCGCTAAAGATTCAGAAGCGCCATGCAATTGCGTACAATGCATAAATGTCGAAAACAAAGACAGTACACGAAGAATTTGAATATCCTAAATCCGGAATCGAGAAATCATGTGGGGTTAATGATGGAGTGTCAAAGGTTATGTTAGACCTTCAAATACAATTTGAAACGTAGACTTGTCTTGGGCTCGGAATCGAGATACTATCTTATCTTAGGATGGCGTAGCTAGACAACTTCTTGCGATTGGTCGACTGAAAGTAGAAAAAACAGTTTTATCTCCAGCAAGTTACGATCCTACCTCTTTCAGTAGCCAAGAGTGCCTTTGGGGCGGGCAGAAGGCTGTGATGATTTTGTTCAGAGCATATATTTGTCCGAAATTACTCTTAATATTAATTTTGTGCTCGAGCAGAGTTTGGGAGACAGAGGCGGCAGTGAGCCGAGGCTGAGACGAAAGAGGGTTGTCGATCGTGGTGTTTAACGTGGCTCTCTATCGTGACAAGAAAGGACTAATACATGCCTCAGCTCCTATATTGTATCACTGGTCGGAAGAAGTGACTTTGTGTCGCAATCTCCCATGTGAGAGTCGGCAGAGATGAAGTGTGACTTTTTGTCGCGAATAAAATGGCCAAACCCTTGAGAAAAGCAAGATGTCCTAAATGTTTATGATGCGACGGCACTGCTTAGGCAATACTACCATGTGCTGGGTCACCGTGCGAAGCATGAAAATCCAGGGAAATGCAATGATACAGATTATTCATTTGTTCAAGAATTGACTAGTATAGCCCTAAAGGTCGTAAGACCTCCGGTAAAGATTTTATCCCTTTGATTTAATGTGCAAGGAATTGCAAGACGACTAAGTCACCAATATGGCTCGGTTTTGCAGAACTGAGGTCGCCATTCACTTATAGATGAATTTGTCATTGTGCACACTCGCAGAGCTGTGGGATAATAATTTTGTCTAAATTCGACAGTTTCTTTTTGTTGCTGGAGCCTCAAGACGTGGTGACGGAAATTCATCTCGCGTGCTATCTCCATACGTCATGTAATTACCTTATTTATTCAAACCCAATGTCGCATCACGCGACAATCACCGCCTTCGATCAAATGATGGCTATTATGGATTGCTGATAAATAAAAGTTAAGTGCCCCCCTTACTACAGTGATTACTGCGAGAAAAATGCGCAAAATTGCCCAGGGCTGTCTAATGCACTAGTGATGTCCGATCATCTAGTGACGCAGTTGTTTAGGCAGCATCGTGGATAGGCACAAACCGATTTCGACAATATTCGTCCATAGTTCGGAATTGGAAAGCAAAAAACTACATAAAATATTTGCAAGTAGTGATTGAAGATATGCTCCTCATACGCTCTATTAACAGTATAAATATCTGCGGATCTGTAGCGACAAAAGTTTCTCAATGGATTGCAATATCGGGAACCAGGATCTGCGGGTGAAATTCGCTACGATACAGGCCATTTAATATTGCCTCGCGCGTCTGTTCAAGAAGTTATGGAGTAATTAGCTCGAAGCTATCAACTACTTGTACACGTACAATGCAAATAATACCTACATGGCACGGCTCCTCACCAAACCCCTTTAAAGAGGTGTAGGAAACGGCGATTTGGAGCTGTGATGGTAACTTTCTCAAGTGCCTCGATTACGGCACTTTCAAATCCAAACCGACCGTTCCGTGTCGTCTGTGATGCTTTGGCTTTTGCAATAGGCCGTACACTGCCCCAAGTAGATGGGCAGATAGGCGTAACTGGCTGAGTCCATCAGCTAAAACGGCAAAAAATACTCTTTTTTTTGACTAAAGATACTTGAGATAAAGTACGTCGTCGCCAAAAGAATGGCGAAATGATTATCCTTCTTTGCCGAGTCTACTTTTGAGGCAAAGTTAAGCCGAGTTAATTTAATGTGATGGCGGCTTCACTTTTGCGTTGCTTCGACTATAAATTGTCGCATGATATATTGCGATGCCGCCACCTGGTACAGCAATACGTATAGCGTACGGGTCAGTCGTAGCATGCATTGAGTTCATGAACATTTTCAATGGCGAAAAATCTAAAAACTTAGATCCCGCCATATCAAAGCGCTCTGTTGCATGTTGTATCACTAATTCGTATCGCAAGGCTTGCTACATGACAGCAATGGACCAAATGACACTTCACGTCTCAGAATAATAATTCGAGTGCCGAATAGTGTACTGATCACATGAAAGCCCAAGGAATTGCCACCAAAAAAAGAGTAAGCCTTGTAAGGGCTACATTTAGCCATTACGGGACAGTATATATATGTGCCTTCTGCGTGCATTGTGAGAATTTACAACAATAGAATTACAGTTTGGTGTCTCCACTTGTCACAAGTGATACCTTATATGAAGTCACAAACATTCGATGCGATACAATATGCTATTTTCTACTTATTTGGACTTTTAACAAACCCAACATATCTCTGTCATTTGAAGTGGGTGGCTTAAGACAGTCACTTCTGCTGGCAATAAATAAAATTGAATGTGTAGAATAATTCAAGCTGCGCTTTTATCGGAGTGGTGAAACAAAGAAGGAGTTACATTTGGAAAGTGCTGTAAGCCTTTGGTCATTTACAGTCATTACTTAATGCAATATTGGCTAGTCACTACACCGATTCACATGTACTATAAAAACTTATCGCGTGGTTAGCGTGTGACGAAGACTAGTCCTGTCAAATCCCGAACACCAAATCACAATGATAAATTGCATTCCATTTGACCGCGGTGAGAATTGAACCTACTTCTAATCACTCCTACCGAAGGACTGGGCAAGTCTGTGGTCATGGCTTAGCGTTGCAAATCACAAAAATATAAGATATACACTAACCAAGCGTGCGTCAATAGAAACTTTTCACGGAAGTTCAGCTTCAAGTTTTTCAAAGTTCATGCTCCAACCACCCAGGATTTTCTATAAGTTCAAGCATGGACTTCAGTCTCAGTTCACCCTTGTTGTATCAATCAGGCTTAAAATAGCCCAGGGTTTTATTTGGAGAGCCTCTAGGAGCCCTACGGGTGTTTTATATTTAGGCTCAAGAACTATTAACTCATTTAACTTTAATTGCAATTTTGCCTTCAGGTCCTTAAGTCGTTATACTTCCTTCAAGTGGGGGGTGTCCTCTTGTCTCAACTTCGATAATCGTTTTCTCGTCGCACAAGCGTGTGTATTGTGTTTGAGGGACAGTTGTGATCAGCGCGCTCGTACATTTTCCAACATGTGTATGCGGGCAAGCTAATATGTGCGCATGTGGAGGTATCAACGGTTCCCCCTCGCCGCATGCGTCAGCTTCTATATTTAGTCTGTCACTTTGGTAGAATGTGGCTTGTCAACCAGCATGGATATTCCTATCTTTCCAAAGGCATTGTGGTCTTTGTGAGTCGTGTGAGTAAGACGGCCCATCTTGCAGCTATCAGATTTACTATTTCGACACAGCCAAGCTGGATCTTAAAAAGTATTTCGCAAACGTGGCCATTTTTCAAGATCGCGATCCGCATTTTGTAGCAAGATTCAGACGACCTTCTTCGGAGATGCTTTGCACTAGCCTCGGTATTTCATAGTCGAATAATATAGCGGAATGCGATGCTGAACTACATGCGCAGAGGAATTGCTGTCGACCCACACCTTTCATACCACGTGCCCTACTATGAAGGGTGTGGATCCCACAAGATGGTGTGACCAAAGCTACATTTAAACAAGAAGTCAGTATGTGGCTGGTGTAACGGGGTTGCACGTACCTTGGTAACAGGAGGGGATCACACGAGATGGGCATGGTGTGATGGCACCCAAACAAGAATACGGTCTGTGAGCTGGGTAGCCAGTACTTATTCATGTATTTAGATTTTACTATATATATTTAATAAAATCTATACATTTAAAATTAGGCGGCTTTGCCGCATATAAAAATAAATAAAAGTCAGTTTTGGATTTTAAAAGGAAGC